ACCGTATTCAACGCCCTTGTAAGCCTGCTAGGTCTTCCTCTGGGCCTGTAACCTGAGTCAGCGTCTTTTTAAGCCTGCAATGTCATCCTCTGGGCCTTTAACAAGAGTCAGCGTCTTTTTAAGCCTGCAATGTCTTCCTCTGGGCCTGTAACCAGAGTCAGCGTCTTTGTAAGCCTGCAGTGTCTTCCTCTGGCCCTGTATCCGTAGACAAAGCCTTTGTAAGCCTGCAATGTCTTCCTCTGGCCCTTTACCAGGATTAGCCTCTTTGTAACGGACGTTACAGAAGGTCTGGGCCTGTACCAGGAGTCAGCGTCTTTGTAAGCCTGCAGTGTCTTCCTCTGGCCCTGTATCCGTATACAAAGCCTTTGTAAGCCTGCAATGTCTTCCTCTGGGCCTTTACCAGAATGAGCGTCTTTGTAAGCCTGCAATGTCTTCCTCTGGGCCTGTAACCAGAGTCAGCGTCTTTGTAAGCCTGCAATGTCTTCCTCTGGGCCTGTAACCAGAGTCAGCGTCTTTGTAAGCCTGCAATTTCTTCCTCTGGGCCTGTAACCAGAGTCAGCGTCTTTGTAAGCCTGCAGTGTCTTCCTCTGGCCCTGTATCCGTAGACAAGCCTTTGTAAGCCTGCAGTGTCTTCCTCTGGCCCTGTAGCCGTAGACAAAGCATTTGTAACCCTGCAATGTCTTCCTCTGGCACTGTAGCCGTAGACAAAGCCTTTGTAAGCCTAGTGTCTTCCTCTGGCCCTGTATCCCTAGCCAAAGCCTTTGTTAGCCTGTAATGCCATTGTGTTCACATGTATTCTGGCCAGTTCACTCGTATGACCTATTTTTAAACTTTCGAATAATTTGAAAATTCTAATTTTCGTACGATATGATTGTAGTGATGGGCAGTTAATGAAGTATCAACTCAGTTGATTGGGCAGTTAATAAAATATCAACTCAGTTAATAGGCAGTTAATGAAATATCAACTCAGTTAACAGGCAGTTAATGAAATATCAACTTAGTTGATGGGCAGTTAATGAAATATCAACTCAGTTGATGGGAAGTTAATAAAATATCAACTGAGTTGATTGGCAGTTAATAAAGTATCAACTCAGTTGATGGGAAGTTAATAAAGTTTCAACTCAGTTAATGGGCAGCTAATGAAATATCAACTCAGTTAATAGGCAGTTAATGAAATATCAACTCAGTTGATGGGAAGTTAATAAAGTTTCAACTCAGTTGATGGGCAGTTAATGAAATATCAACTTAGTTGATGGGAAGTTAATGAAATATCAACTCAGTTGATGGGCAGTTAATGAAATATTAACTTAGTTGATTGGCAATTAATGAAATATCAACTTAGTTGATGGGCAGTTAATGAAATATTAACTTAGTTGATTGGCAATTAATGAAATATCAACTTAGTTGATGGGCAGTTAATAAAGTATCAACTCAGTTGACGGGCAGTTAATGAAATTTCAACTTATTTTATGGGCAGTTAATAAAGTATCAACTCAGTTGATGGGAAGTTAATAAAGTTTCAACTCAGTTGATGGTCAGTGAATAAAGTATCAACTTAGTTAATGGGCAGTTAATGGAATATCAACTCAGTTGATGGGCAGTTAATGAAATATCAACTCAGTTGATTGGCAGTTAATGAAATATCAACTTAGTTGATGGGCAGTTAATGAAATATCAACTTAGTTGATTGGCAATTAATGAAATATCAACTTAGTTGATGGGCAGTTAATAAAGTATCAACTCAGTTGACGGGCAGTTAATGAAATTTCAACTTATTTTATGGGCAGTTAATAAAGTATCAACTCAGTTGATGGGAAGTTAATAAAGTTTCAACTTAGTTAATGGGCAGTTAATGGAATATCAACTCAGTTGATGGGCAGTTAATGAAATATCAACTCAGTTGATTGGCAGTTAATGAAATATCAACTTATTTATGGGCAGTTACTGAAGTATCAACTCAGTTGATGGGCAATTAATGAAATATCAACTTAGTTGATGGGCAGTTAATAAAGTATCAACTCAGTTGACGGGCAGTTAATGAAATTTCAACTTATTTTATGGGCAGTTAATAAAGTATCAACTCAGTTGATGGGAAGTTAATAAAGTTTCAACTTAGTTAATGGGCAGTTAATGGAATATCAACTCAGTTGATGGGCAGTTAATGAAATATCAACTCAGTTGATGGGCAGTTAATGAAATATCAACTCAGTTGATTGACAGTTAATGAAATATCAACTTATTTATGGGCAGTTAATGAAATATCAACTCAGTTGATGGGCAGTTTATAAAATATCAACTCAGTTGATGGGCAGTTAATAAAATATCAACTCAGTTGATGGGCAGTTAATAAAATATCAAATCAGTTGATGGGCAATTAATAAAATATCTCAAAATTTGCTGTTATAAAATCTATGTTGTCAAATTATTTTTAAAAAAAAAAAAAGCTTTAAAAATAGATAAAATTAGTTGTGTATGCAGAATGAACGTCACTTTTAAAGCCTTAATGGGATGACTTGAGACTCGTCGTCCAACACTATGGCTCTAGAAGCTAAGAGTAAAACTCAATTGGACATATTGCACCTTGAGACCACTCTAGTGATGAAGATTTTTATTTTTACATTAAAAGCTACCCATTGAAGTGTTGACAGTAGTGACAGTGTAGATATCAGTGACAGTATATAAAGTATTGTCAGTGTAGATTGTAGTGACAGTACAGTAAAGATAATAGTGACAGCATATCTAGTAGTGATGGTATGTTGATATAGTCATATTTTGGAGGAACATATTTTTTATTTCAAATATCCTGCCAGAAGACATCCTAAAATATGTTTTACATATCTCAACGTTTCTGTCAGAAGACATCCTAAAATATGTTGGACATTTCTCAACTTTTCTGCCAGAAGACATCCTAAAGTATGTTTTACATATCTCAACGTTTCTGTCAGAAGACATCCTAAAATATGTTGGACATTTCTCAACTTTTCTGTCAGAAGACATCCTAAAGTATGTTTTACATATCTCAACGTTTCTGTCAGAAGACATCCAAAAATATGTTGCACGTATCTCAACTTCTCTGTCAGAAGACATCATAAAATATGTTGTACACATCTCAACGTTTCTGTCAGAAGACATCCTAAAATATGTTGTAAATATCTCAACTTTTCTGCCAGAAGACATCCTAAAATATGTTGTACATATCTCAACTTTTCTGCCAGAAGACATCCTAAAATATGTTGTAAATATCTCAACGTTTCTGTCAGAAGACATCCTAAAATATGTTGTAAATATCTCAACTTTTCTGCCAGAAGACATCCTAAAATATGTTGTAAATATCTCAACTTTTCTGTCAGAAGACATCCTAAAATATGTTGTACATATCTCAACTTTTCTGCCAGAAGACATCCTAAAATATGTTGTAAATATCTCAACTTTTCAGTCAGAAGACATCCTAAAATATGTTGTACATATCTCAACTTTTCTGCCAGAAGATATCCTAAAAAGCAAAGATTTCTTCAGTTTAGATAAGGATATTACCTTGAATTGTTTTATTCAAAATAGTAAAAAAAAAAAAAAAAAAAAAAAAAAAAATAAAAAAAAAAAAAAAAAAAAAAAAAAAAAAAAAAAAAAAAAAAAAAAAAAAAAAAAAAAAAGAAAATAACCTAAAAAGCAAAGATTTCTTAAGTTTAAATAAAGATATTACCTTGAATTGTTTTATTCAAAAAAGTAAAAAAAAAAAAAAAAAAAAAAAAGTCAATTTCAAATATAAAAAAAACAAAGAGAGGAGAGAAATAAAGTTTATTGAACATTTACTTCAAGACAATGTGAACATTAGATCATCTTGGATGTATACAAGCAGATGATCAGACTACCTCTGTGTAAATTAATCAAGTAGAGAACACACACACACACATATTGTCTACCTGAAAACTAAAGAGTTCTTCAAACTACTTAAGCCAAAAAATCAACAAAATTAAAAGGGCAAATAACTCTACTTGGCAAAACTTTTGTGGAAAAAATGCCAACATGAAATGATACAGCTGTAATACAATTGTTAGTCTTACTATCTTAACAGTTAATCTTACTGTCTTAACAGTTAGTCTTACTGTCTTAACAGTTAGTCTTACTGTCTTAACAGTTAGTCTTACTGTCTTAACAGTTAGTCTTACTGTCTTAACAGTTAGTCTTATTGTCTTAACAGTTAAATAAACTTGAAAAAAAGTATTTCTTTTTTTTTATAAGTGTTATATTATAAATACTGAATAAATAATTTATTTCTCATTTCTTATTTCCTTAAACAGTAGAAGCAAAATAATTGTGGAAATAGATAAATAGATATAAAACATATCAAGCGGATAAAGAGCCTGAACATGTGTATATATACTAGATAAGTCAAAAAGATATTTATATCAATATTGGTGCAGAAAACAAGTTTGCCATTCACAGAAAAAAAATGTATTGTTCAACTCAATTATTTTACAATAATAAAATAAATGCCTGATTGAACAGTATGTACATTATTTCCTAGATAAGATGGCGGCTAAAGCTTAAAATTGCAAAAAAATTAAAACTTTAATGAAAAGGTAATTCTTCGTGCAAAAACTTGGTGATAAACACTTGACATCAATTTGATTCAATTCCGAGCGTGAGAGATTTCAATTCCAAGCATGATAATTTTGTTCCTCTTTATGTGGCATCAGTCATTCAATTTATTGTTAGGATTACATTATCCTTTGAAAAAACAAAAGCAAACTATGTAACCAGGGGTAACCTTCCAGAGCTAACATTTCAAAGGTAACCTTCCAGAGCTAACATTTCAAAGGTAACCTTCCAGAGCTAACATTTCAAAGGTAACCTTCCAGAGCTAACATTTCAAAGGTAACCTTCCAGAGCTAACATTTCAAAGGTAACCTTCCAGAGCTAACATTTCAAAGGTAATCTTCCAGAGCTAACATTTCAAAGGTAATCTTCCAGAGCTAACATTTCAAAGGTAACCTTCCAGAGCTAACATTTCAAAGGTAACCTTCCAGAGCTAACATTTCAAAGGTAACCTTCCAGAGCTAACCTTTCAAAGGTAATCTTCCAGAGCTAACATTTCAAAGGTAACCTGCCAGAGCTAACATTTCAAAGGTAACCTTCCAGAGCTAACATTTCAAAGGTAACCTTCCAGAGCTAACATTTCAAAGGTAATCTTCCAGAGCTAACATTTCAAAGGTAACATTCCAGAGGTTACATTTCAGAGGTAACATTCCAGAGGTTACATTCCAGAGGTAAAATTCCATATAAAATTCCAGAGATAACATTCTCAATGGTCCACTAAATAAATCATTATTACAACATTTGTTCTAGTTAAAGAATGTATAAAATAACTGCAGATATCGTACTACTAATAAGTTAAGTAATAATAATTGAAACACTGGGAAACACCCATTTTGTACCACCATTACCAACTTCCTCAAAACAAATCAAGCTTTTCAAGTCCAAGAGTCAATTGATGAGATTATTTACAGCCAGAAAGATCCTGGCATCTCTGACAGGATTTGGTCAAGATATTAAGTCATTTACAGTAGCAATTCTTCATGTACTTCTACGGTCTCTTGATTTAACATTCAACAAAATATCAGGCAAAAAAATTTATGAAGATAAGCAGCAAAAAAAATAAATCTACTTAATAAATAAAATATATACCGGTGGCCTAATACAAGTTCATTAAACTGACATGTCTTAACAACAACAAAAATATATGTAAATTAAATTTAATAATATACATTTTTTTTTAATGCGAACAAGATCTTTAGTATATAAACAAAATATATAACTTTTATAATCTTTCTCACTCAGTAAATACCGTAGTAAAAAAATTTGTTCTTCTAAATGTCAACATTTGAAGATGACAAGTCATGTGTTGTTTGATCTTAACCTTACATTTAACAGCAACCCAATACACAATTATTTCAAAACACTACATAAATTATATTCAAAGCTTACTTCTTTAACACAAACTTGTGCCACATAATTTTAGCACAAAAACCTTGGCCACGTAATTTTAACACTAAAAACTTGGGCCACATAATTTTAACAATCAAATAACTAAATTTTATTAATAACTCAATTTCTAAGCCATGCAGATTCCTTAATGCCTAGATACAATCACTGGAGCGTAAATCAATTACCGGAACAAGACTGCCATAATATTTCTTGATGTATTAATGGCCATGTCCAGCCTGGCTTTGGTGGAGTTGGTCGCAATATGGGGGGTGATGATGCAATTGGGCATGCTGATAAGCGGGTGGTCTGCCGGCAGAGGTTGTGGTTCTGTGACATCAACGGCAGCCGCGGTGATCTTGCCGGTCTTCAGGGCCTCTACTAAATCATCAGTGTCCACAACGGGACCACGAGAGGTGTTGATCAAGATGGCAGTCGGTTTCATTTTATCAAAGACTTTCTTGTTGATCAGATTTCGGGTGAGTCCATTAAGGGCACAGGAAATGACAAGAAAATCAGATTCCCTGAATAACGTGTCCTGATCAACATACTCAGCATTGAGTTCATCTCCGAAAGATGCACGTACCATGTCATTGTACAAAATCCTCTTGACTCCAAACGGCTTCATTCGGCGGGCAACGCCAAAGCCGACTCTGCCAAAACCAAGTATGCCCAGTGTTCGGTTGACGATTTCTGTCCCACAAATCCACATGGGTTTCCACAGTCCCCACTCACCCTTTTCCACAGCCGTCACACCTGGTGTTTGAATTGATAAGACAGTGTCATCATTTTTGTTTCAAAATTAAAATACCCACACAACTGGTACAGTTTACAGTGCATTTGTGTCCAGTCCTTTAATGATGTAGTTATAGTGTGTAAGCATTAGGACGTGTACACAAGATTGCACTCGCCATAAGGAAGTGTGTTCATCTATGAGTCATTGGCAAAATACCATTGTAAAACTGCTGATATGATATGGTACTATTGCAACCCCTGTTCACATCTAAGACTTCCTCACCTTCTAGGCATCTCCTGGCAGCCATGAGCAGCAACGTCACAGTGAATTCAGCGGCACTGTCAGCAGCCACATCCGGAGTGTTTGCCACGTAGATGTCACGTTTTTTACAATCATAAGTGCTGATGTGATGAGTTCCCACCGACATGGTTGCCACAGTTTTTAGCTGGGTTCCTGAAAAATAACATTGAAGACATGGCTAGAACCAGAGTAAGATTGAAGACATGGCTAGAACCAGAAGTAAGATTGAAGACATGGCTAGAACCAGAAGTAAGATTGAAGACATGGCTAGAACCAGAAGTAAGATTGAAGACATGGCTAGAACCAGAACAAGTTGTCTCATTCTTACACTCCCACCATTTACAACATCCCCCACCTCTTAAGCCATTACACCATCACTTTCATAGAAAATTCCTCGCATATCATCTTAAATATTACAACAAATACATGAACTTTACCTGCAGCATCTAATACTGGAGCGTCAATAACATCACTAATGGTACAGAAGATAGCACTGACACCCTGGACTTTCTTCAAAAGAACATCTCTTGGAATGACCTGATCGCTGTCCCAGATGTCAAGCTCACATTTTTCTTTTAAGAGGTCGATGGCTTCCTGGTGGACCTTCCTTGTAACCAACACTTTTGGACGAGTCATCCTACAGCAAAAAACATAATTGTATTTCCTAAAACATAGTTGTTTCTCAAGAACCTAGTAATTTAATATAATGTAAAAATAAAATGGGCATTTTTTCATCGGTCCACCAAACTTAAAAGTCTGGGAAACACTGATGGGCACCTCAGACATCTCCATACCTAATGAGTAATAGAATGAGGAGTGGGGGAGTACAGGAAACAAAACAGGTCATAAAATTTTCCTCAGACTGCAATATTCCAAGGGAAAATTTTGACTGTTGTCTTTTGATGGTGGTAGGCACTGATAGAAGGAAATGATGGTAGGCAATGATGATAGGAAATGATGGTAGGCAATGATGGTAGGAAAAGATGGTAGGCACTGATAGAAGGAAAAGATGGTAGGCACTGATAGAAGGAAATGATGGTAGGCAATGATGATAGGAAATGATGGTAGGCAATGATGTTGGCAATGATGGTAGGAAAAGATGGTAGGCACTGATAGAAGGAAATGATGGTAGGCAATGATGATAGGAAATGATGGTAGGCAATGATGATAGGAAATGATGGTAGGCAATGATGGTAGGAAAAGATGGTAGGCACTGATAGAAGGAAATGATGGTAGGCAATGATGATAGGAAATGATGGAAGGCAATGATGGTAGGAAAAGATGGTAGGCACTGATAGAAGGAAATGATGGTAGGCAATGATGGTAGGAAATGATGGTAGGCACTGATAGAAGGAAATGATGGTAGGCAATGATGATAGGAAATGATGGTAGGCAATGATGGTAGGAAAAGATGGTAGGCACTGATAGAAGGAAATGATGGTAGGCAATGATGATAGGAAATGATGGTAGGCAATGATGGTAGGAAAAGATGGTAGGCACTGATAGAAGGAAATGATGGTAGGCAATGATGATAGGAAATGATGGTAGGCAATGATGGTAGGAAAAGATGGTAGGCACTGATAGAAGGAAATGATGGTAGGCACTGATAGAAGGAAATGATGGTAGGCAATGATGATAGGAAATGATGGTAGGCAATGATGGTAGGAAATGATGGTAGGCACTGATAGAAGGAAATGATGGTAGGCAATAATGATAGGAAATGATGGTAGGCAATGATGGTAGGCATTATAGAATTTGGTTAAAGAGCATCATTCCCTAACCCTAACCCCTAACCCTAACCGTTACTCCCAAAAGTTCATCCCACTAAAGCACAGATTGCATAACTTATAATCTTAGGCTTATAATCAAACATACAAATCACAAAGTGCCATTCGAGCAGTTGCATGTTGTTATGCCACTTGGGGCAGAAAAAAATCTTTGCTACTGTCAAGTATGGGAGTTCATTGATAATTGTTGCGACTGAATATTATGTTCATTAGGGTGTGTGTTTGAAAGTTTAATTAGTTAGTGAACACTCTTCCCACCTTGACTCTGTGGGGTATTTTTATGCTGATTGTGATGTATTGTCAAGACTGTATTATGACGTAATTTTCAGTCTTGCGGCAGTCTTGAAAGGAACTTTGTAGAAGTAGGATATATTTTATTTATGTCTGATAGCAGCTGCACTATATGCATGTGTTTATAATTAGATATTAAAGTTATAATTGTTATGAAAAGGACTTGAGTTTATTCAGTGATACCTAGTAAGAATAGTCTGACGTGTTACAACGCGTGAAAGAACATGACGAGCTAACCAATCCAGCAGAACAACATAGGAGTTGACAACTGCCTAGGGACACTAGGTCTTAATACATCACTGATTACTGATCACTTTAGCAGAGTTACATGATTTCTTAAGACATTTGTCACAGTATATTAAGTACAATAGTAGTAGGCCCATATTTTTTAAAATTTTGTTAAGAAATTCATTGTATGATATATATAACTTGGCAAATCATCCGACAGGGTCACCTTTTCCAAGTGAAGCATCGGCAGACCAATAGACCTTCTATTTCTATGTGCACATAAAATTATTTTGAAATACAATTTATGAGTTAGGGGTAGTAATTTACTCAAATAGGTCTAGCCTACATCAGTTAGTCTCATTCATACTTCAATTGGCCTTTTTGCAGTACTTATAGTGCTAAGACGCCTAAGTAACTAAATTAGTATAGTACTAACATTAAAAATTAGGTAATTAGGCCTGGCCTGGCCAATTCAATTCGATAGTACTTGGCCTATTGTGTAAAGTAGTCATCCTTTACCATATCACAGTTAACATTTTCCAATCTCACTGCATCAAGGGTTTTTATATCTGTTCTGTAGCAAGTGTTTAAGAGCATAGGAGGCATTTATACGAGTGTGTATGGGGAGTGTATATAAAGCCTTTAAAATACATATATAATAAATGAAAGGTTGCAACTATTCTGACAATGGTCCCTTTAGATTAAATGGCTATTTGGACCCTGGTCCCTTTAGATTAAATGGCTATTTGGACCCTGGTCCCTTTAGATTAAATGGCTATTCGGACCCTGGTCCCTTTAGATTAAATGGCTATTCGGACACTGAGTGGGTTCCTTCAGATTAAATGGCTATTCGACCCCAGTACAATTTAGATAAAATGTCTCGTCTGAACCGAGTGTGTTTACAATAGTAGTATGAGAAATAAAGAATATTTTGTTGGTGTTTTTTCCTTGTTATTTCCTTTTTTTCCTTCGTTTTTTCCTTCGTTTTTTTCTCTTTCTTTTCTTGCTTTCTTAGTAGCCGTAGTTTGTTTTTGTTGTTTTTTTCTCTAATTTTTGGAAGCCATGTTTGTAGAACAGGCTTTTTATCTAGTAATTGAGATAACATAGATACATTTATTTTCATTAGATTTTTAGAAAAGTATTTATATTCAATCAATTTAGTAATTTATATTTATCTGTATTGTTTAAATTAAAGATTTTATGACACAGCATTTTATTGATTAGTTAGGTATTCTAAATTAAAATTTAATAGGTAAGGGGCCATCCATAAGTGACATCAGGTGTCGGGGGGTGGTGGGGTTCACATTAACAGTAACAGTGCAGTGGATTCCAGGGCACGTTAACGTCATTCACTGAATGCCAATCACTAGATGTTTCAGGAGAGGCCATAGAGCCCTAAGTGAAGACAATGATTAAATTGCACAGCTCAGCACATAGAGTTGATTGCCAATGTACTAGGTAGGGTTTTAAGAGAGTAATCTCAAACTCTCAACAGAATGTGTCTGTTAGCACTGTTAGTTAGTTTTTGTTGTTTTATTTCTTTAATTAACTTTCTAAAAACCAAAAACGACAAGAAACAATACAAATAAGGAGCAAACCATATTTAACAGGACAACATTTACAGCCGATAATCAAAATGCAATGGAAAATTTTTTTTTAAAGGCAACAACAATTATCAAAGGAAGCAAATACCATTTTCTGGGTCTTCCGCACCATAGTGATGCTTTCACCCCTGGTTAAGAACCACTTTACTAGGGAAACGCTTCTGACAGAGGTGCAGTAATTCGATATCCATGGGCGTAGTCCAGTATTGGAGTACCTACCATGGTTTTAGTATTTCTGTATTTCTTTTAAGTTACTGAAAAAAGTTTGATTATCAAGATTATCGGGACCGATTAGCCACTTAATCTTAAGGGACCAGGGTCAGCCCCCCAACCCCCTTTTCCCGTATTATACGAGACGCCAATGTATGACTGTATTATTATTAGTATGCTATATGAGGCTCATTAATAATTATTCATTTATCTAAATAAATTCAGAACTACATTTCAAATATTTAAGATTATTTGGGTTTTGGCAATTGGCTGATTTGCTCCTTTTTTTTCAATAAATGGTATGATAGAAGTATTAGAAGTAGAAGAACTAGAAGTAAAAGTGGCTAACTCAACTGAAAATAAACACAACTGTCTGGAACGCTGTACTGTAGTGTTGATCACAATCCAATAACAATTAATTAACTTTCATAAGCAAACTACCTATACAAACAACTCACCTGTTATTATTTATCTTGGCTTCTAAAACTTTAAGCAACTTTATCAGGCTACGATACAGTTAATTAAATGTAATTACTCTTTTAGTGTGGAGACCGGTAAGACTCAATCGGCGACCTTCGCAAGAAGACACGGGTTAAGGTCACCACTTTGCAAGGTGAAGGTCCTTATACTAGGAAATACAATACTTATCCAGGTTCAGGGCAATATACACAACACTAAAGACTTGCAAGACATGTAGTCTGTATAGAATGACTAGTGGTAATGACAATATGTAATAAAGGGTGGTCAAATAAAGAATACCGAGTTGCATGAATTGCACCCCCACCTCGACCCTCAAATTAAATTAAAATATTTATCTAATAATATAGAAAAACAAAGACTATAAGTAAGTATAAGCATAATCAGGGTTGTGCCGAGGAAAAGCAGCGCCCTAGGCGAAGCCTGAAATTGGCGCCTTCCAGTGTATAGAAAAGAAACAAGTGCCACCCTGGGCTGATCATAGAGCCCCTTGTTTTTGTTGAGAACATTATCATTCAATTCGCTATAAATGTCGTATCTAAAGACGATGTTGGCGCCCCACCAACGTTGGAGCCATGGGCGAGTGCTCACTTCGCATGGCCCTGTCAGGGCACCATACATTTTTAATTCATGAATCTTATACTTAATTATTAGTGATGTAAGCAATATTAGGCCAAGTGACGTCACACCAAGCTTTAGACCTAAATATTTGATTAGCCAAGTTAACAATAAGCACATACGATTATTAAGGTGATCCATGTCCATTTCGACTGACGAAGTTAATTTTTACTTATTTTTAAATAGTGATATAATTTAGTTCACTGATAGAGGCATAATCTCATATAGCAGGAGTCACCAAGCTAGCAAGTGATTGATGTAGGCCTACCAATAATTAATGTACCCAGTATTTGATGTGCCAAGTGGTTAATGTACCAAGTGATTGATGTACTGAATGATTGATGTACTGAATGATTGATGTACCAAGTAGTTGATGTACCAAGTGATTGATGTACTGAATCATGTACCCAGTGGTTGATGTACCAGGTGATTGATGTACTGAATGATTGATGTACCAAGTGGTTGATGTACCAGGTGATTGATGTACCAGGCAGAGGCGTAGCTAGGGTTGGTGTCACCCGGTGCGGTAAGCTCAAGGTGTCACCCCCACTTCCCTACATCCACGGCAGATTTTTTCTTGTTAAAATAAGTCCACAGTATAACAATGACAAGAACAAAAACAAACTAATTGAAGGTCAGGGGGTAAATGTATTTAAGAACTGTAACATGTACTTAAAATCGACAGACCACATCGTAGCTGGTATCAATGGAAAGCTTTCTGTCTCATAATTTAGTTAAATCTGGCTTCCTGTCACTCACGAAAGTTACCGACCACTTCAATCGGCGTTGAATCATGGGCAATTAAGTGTTTTTCTTAACTAATTATAGGGCCACTTTATCTCTGACGCACGAACCTTGAACTTTTAATAAACATTGGTCACATGTGTGGACAATGTACGTGTGATCGCTTATCCCTTTATGAAATTCAGTTAGACCGAGCAATGTGTGTTCTGCAATTGTTCAATTTGGTGTCACCCCCTGAGATGTGTCACCTGGTGCGGTCCGCACCCCCCGCACCCACCTAGCTACGCCACTGGTACCAGGTGATTGATGTACCAAGTGATTGATGTACCAATAATTAATTTACCTAGTGATTGATGTACCAGGTCAGTGATGTACCAGGTGATTGATGTACCAATAATTAATTTACCTAGTGATTGATGTACCAGGTGATTGATGTACCAGGTGATTGATATACCACGTAATTGATGTACCAGGTGATTGATGTACCAAGTAATTGATGTACCAAGTGATTGATGTACCAACAGATTGATGTACCAAGTGATTGATGTAACAATAATTAATGTACCAGGTGATTGATGTGTTGTTCGTCCGTCGAGGATCAACGATGACCATCGAGTCGTCCGGTGACTGATGACTTGCGCTAGGGACTTCTGTTTAAAGTGAGGAAGAGTTGCGCCGGCATCAACCTCACCCTCTCGTCCGGGCCCACCATATCCAGTGGCAAGACTCTACGTCAAGACTACCAGGGATGCGTACGGTTGCAGGAATTGTCATTGTATGCGCCTTACGGGACTCCAACTCCGGGTTTGAATTCAGAGTTTCCTTTTCTTAGATGAGTTGCCGGCCAAGGTTAACGAGTCTCATCCACCCGGGGTGATGTTTTTGCTTGACGGGCCTTTGGCTGGAATTGAGGTTTGCTCAGTTTAGACCATGCAGTGAATGACCATGGTGTTCTACGTGTCTGGACATGCTCTCAGCGATTCACACCACTGTGCTGTCGCCGCCTTTTGTGATTGATGTACCAAGTGATTGATGTACCAATAATTAATGTATCAAGTGATTGATGTAGGCCTATCAAGTGATTGATGTACCAAGTGATTGATGTACCAAGTGATTGATGTACCAAGTGATTGATGTACCAGGAGATTGATGTACCGAGTGATTGATGTTACCTTGTGACAAGTGAAACCAAAGAAGGTTAAATTAAATGATAAAAGTTTTTTTTAAAAGAATTTTATTTGAATGCACTTCAACTGACATGCTACTTTTATCTCATATTCTCAGATCAAGCAGAACTAAAATGTACAACTTAAACTAAAATGATCACATAGAAATAACATAGAACCTCTTTACAGCATGGCTACATAGATTTCTAATATTATATCTTTTTAAACCAAATAGACTTCAAGTACAATGTTGCATTTTAACAATTTGTAATGTATGGTTTCAGTTATTATTCAGATTTCATAACTGAAATTAGTTGTTTGTTTAATAAAATGTAATGACAAAATAATAAATTCAAATAATTTGTTTATCTTTCTAATTCATTTAGACATCATGTTCAATAATTCATAATAGAAACAAATGTTTAATTTAGTACACACCATTATAATGGAAAACTTTGGGAACTTTGCCTGTAATTATTTTAGTTTTACTCTGTATATATATATTGAATGATTTTGATTGAATTAAAAAAAAAAAAAAAAAATTGGTTGTTTGTGAAACCCTGGGGCTTAAAAATTCAAGAACCCCTTATTTTAATAAAACTAATAAAAATACGTGGACAAAAAAATTTAAAAAAACTTTGGGAACTTTGCCTGTAATTATTTTATTTTTACTCTGTATATATATATTGAATTATTTTGATTGAATTAAAAAAAAAAAAAAAAATTGGTTGTTTGTGAAACCCTGGGGCTTAACAATTCAAGAACCCCTGATTTTAATAAAACTAATAAAAATACGTGGACAAAAAAATTTAAGTATTATGACATATGCTTACAGTTATAAGAAGTTAGATCTAATAGTTTGTATTTATGTGTCACCTATCCGCCCTATGGTGAAATTATGACCCCATTAGAGGTGAAAGTAGGACCCCATTGGTGGTACAAATAAAGTCATGTTCAGCAACAATGAAATATGATTCATTTATCATAGGGTCAAATAATAACATTAACACACACACAAATAATAATGTTATTGTTTCAATTAATTTTTTTAAATGGCCATGCCATGCCATTTACATCCCTTTATTTCTTCTTACTTCCCTTGCCACACTAAGACATTCTCATGAAATGAATCTATCAGGTTGATTACAGAAAGAGAAGCAGTTTTGCCTCTAAGTTATGCATACCTAAGTGCACACATGATCTGCAAAGCCTGTGCACATATACAATATCAATAATATCTTTCTAATATTGAGACCTGTGAGTTGAAACAAAATAATTTATTTTCTTAAAATCTTCATAATGCAAAAATTAAGTTGATTAATATTTGAAAAGTGAATTCTAAGCCGATCCATAGATTTTGATTAATTTTAAAAGAGTAAAAAAAATAGAATCAACTATTAAAATGATTTAAGGATGCTAGTGAGCCTCAGGAAAGTTAGCTAGAAAACAGAACAGGACCACGCTCAATAAGATGGTTGGATGACTGGTAGAAAATAAGTGGTATTAATTACATTGTTCAACATTACATGATTCACCACATATCTTTTATTACTACAACATCCTTCAATACGCATAGCGATAAGGCCTGTGATTTTTTTTAATGAAAAAAAACATTAACAACTACCCTACTACAAAGTTAGATCAAAACAACATCAACATTGTCAGAGCATTATTCATAAACCATTTTAAAGCAGAAATTAAAACATGTATTAATAAGTCATCGTATTAATAAGTCATCGTGGTTGTATGTACATTTTTTTTTACGGCTTAATGAAAATGTTTATTAGCATGTCAAAAAGTGTTATTTTTTATTTAAATGATGAAGTTGCCAGTCCTTGGGATAATGTCACATCTCCTAATGAACTGTAATGTATAAGAAGATCACCATTGTGTACATGGAGATCTCCACCATTGTCTACATGGAGATCACCATTCTGTACATGGAGATCTCCACCATTGTGTACATGGAGAGCTCCACATACACAGCAGTTTACAGTTAGATCTGCTTGCACAGCGTACTTTGGCATAATGAAGATTAAAAATTTGATATTCATGCATAAAAAAATGTATACATTGTTTGGTATGACATAGGCATAAAAATACTTGCATGAGATCAACAGGTTATTACAGTCACGTAAAATTTATACTACATGTTATATGATTGCTACAATATTTTTTTTAAAACTTTTTTTTCTTTATCGATACAATTCAAGATGATAACTTGAAATGCAAACACGGCAATCAGATGGACTGCTCGTGTCCCACAGGCCGACATCCCCGTTTTTTTCATAATTCTTGAAATATTGAAGATTTCAGGCTGCCATTCGCAGACCTGTTTACTCTTACGATTTTGGCGTACAATTTTTAGGTGTATACATTATATATACTGTATGTTTATTTTTTACTATTAAGATAATGTGTGGAACAATTATGTGATGATATTGTACGATTTTAAGAGTTTGAGGGTAAACAGGTCTGCATGCGGCCACCCAAAAAAATGAATTCATGTAATAAAGGTTTCCCAGTGTTAAGTAGATACAGTAAATGAGCAAGGAGTTTTACTTTCATTATTTTAATGGTTGTTCAGATATTATATCAT